TTAGACGTTGAGGTAGATCTTTGATACAAATCCAGGGAATACGTTGCGGAAGGTACTGAGTGATGGTTCCCTTGTGTGATACGGCATTCAACCATCCTCAAAACGTCATATAAATACTCATAATTTCACGAAGCTTTTTCTGTGTTGAATAAACCTAATTACAGCGAAAATTTCATTCGTTTAATTCATCTACATTAAAACAGCATGTGCGTGTATATAATAAAACGTGTAGCTAGTCATAACTTTCAAAATTCTGTCAATGATACAAAAAAAAATATAGTAGGTTTCAGATATTTTCATACCATTACAGCCTTGGGTTCCTTTAGCTGTAATTAATCCATTGCAAGAGGATAAGAAGTCACGCTAGGGCCTCCCAAGCTCGTTGATAAGACGCGACCAATCCAATATTTTGAAGAGTGTGTCAGAGAGACTAATCACAATATCACCACGGCTGATTCAGCGTGTTGGAAAGTTGAGTAGACTTCTTTTTAGAAAATCTTACAAAATCGATTGAAAGAACTCAGATTGATGGTTAATTATTGTCCAATCGGTCAATGTCATTGGGAAAGAAACATGGCGAATAATACAAAGTCGATTAAAATCACCCCAAACGGATTTAACTTGACCTATTTAAATGTACTCTTACTGTGTTACCAAAAGTTGAATGCTAGTATACCAGTATAAACATGTTTTTATTGACCGTGTATCACGCAATTCGACTGCGAGAATATTCATTATGGATGTAAAAATTGTTAAGAAGTTCAGTGAAGTTAATTAGAACCTGGCAGGTGCTTGTACGATCGTTCCGACAGGATGTTAAACAGATCAATACCGGACCGTGTGCACGTTATATTTATCTCCGTCTCATGCTGTAAGACGGAAACAGATTTCAGCTAACCAACAATTGATCTCTCTGGGAGGTGTCATTTCCAGATGCATAATGACCCCCGGTCATTGCAACCCACGTCACGTGGGTGACAGACTGACGAAATCTATAGTGCAAAATGCATATCGCCTCTACTGCACATAATTAAGGACGGTGGGGGTTAGCCTAGTGGTTGGGTCGCCACGTCGAAGATCCGGGTTTGATTCCCCACATAGGTAGGACATACGAAACGTATTCCTGGTGTCCCCTATGCTTCGAGGGTTGATTGATAATTTATGAGCTTCACATAGACGGAATACTGATTTTTTGTGTTGTAAGCATTACATGATGTCTTTAAGGTATAACCTCAACGACTTGACCAAACTGAGCAAATTGTTTCGCTTTGACAACAAAAATAATAATAAATAAATAAAAAACATGAAATTCGGGTTATTGACACCCTAACACGAAGAATCATGCCAGACAATAGATACCAACCCCCTCACTCTTCCTCCAACTGCTTATATTTACCAATCATAATTGGAGGGCGTGGTCTAATTAACATGGAGGCTCTTCATGACAGAATTGTAACGTGCACTTTTGCACACATTTATTTGTGTGATGATCCTCTTGTGAACCATTTCAAGATTCATGATGAAAACAAGGCATTCCACAGTTTCCTTAAACGAGCCAAGGATGAGGCACATAATCTCAACGTTAATGTTGATTTTGTTGATGGTTCTGTACTGTTGGACGGTATAGAAATGAGTGTCAACCAAGCGATGCGCCACATCAAATCGACCAAGACCATGAGGCTATCTGAACGACAACTGCATCAAGTTAATGTGCAGTGTGTAGAGTGGATCAGCAACCCTGCGGCTGGATGAAGTCTGCTCGCCTGAAAATTAAAACAGGAGGCTTTCTGTTTGCTGCTCACGACAAGTTACTTCACATTTGAAACGTCATTGTGTGATCAAAATGTAAATATGACATGTAGAATATGCAATGAATTTAATGAGAGTGTCCAACACATTGTCAGTGGATGCCCGGCTTTGGCACAAACACAGTATCTTAAGCGACATGATGGAGTTGCTCGATCCTTTTATTACCATCTTCGTTATGCTTGTGGTTAGGACACAGAGGTCAATCCATTGTACGACCAAGAATATGAAGAGATCGCCATGGAAAATGATGAATACAAAATTCTTTGGAATAGGCCCGTATACAGCCCCAGACCTATCTAGGCCAACAAACCTGATCTTGCCCTTTCTGATACATACAGTGAAATCATATATATTATTGAATTTTCTGTCCCTTGTGACTGGCAAGATTCAGGAACAACATTCAAATATGCGGACCTCGCTTCCGAAATGTCACGCTTGCATCCCAAGTACCAAGTTGTCCGACTCCCCGTTGTTCTCGGTCCCTTAGGTTTGGTACCTCCCAATCTGACATTGGGAGAGTACCCGGGTTTGCTGCCAGGAATACAGCCCTTCTGACAATCTGGGAAATGCATCAGACATACTTTTTGTCACCAATGCGTCAAATTTGGAAATGTCCTCCACTTCTACGAATATTAAATATTTTGAAAGGTTTACTGAGGCCTTGAATGATGTAACCTTGATCAAAATAGCTTTAAAGCAAGAGTATGACGCTCAATGAAATCTCAATGAAGTTGTGAAATGTAGACACCATAGGATATCATGGAGCTGCTAGGATATTGCTCGACATACCTGTACAGGGAAATTGCAACGTTCAACTCATACCAGTTGTCATACAGTCTTTGTCATTTTGAATCTTTATGTACAGATCTACATCTGAAACAGATGAGGCGGTTGCACTGGTCTCTTTGATTTCTGGCTCTGGTGAGTAAAACAGTCGAAGGGAATTGGCTCGTTGACCACTATTGAAAGGATATCAGATCATCGATATACCTGAAGTCAATGAAAGGAACGTCAGCATATTTACCACTTACTTTTCACGGTTGTTAGATCAGCTGCGAAAACGATTTTTTTTTTCTACAAAAAGAGAAACCTTCTCACATACAAAAATAGTTTATAAATTCCTATAACGTCTTTGTATACCGCAAGTGTTTTCCAACTTATGTTCCCCACTGTATCTCACAAACTTTCTCACATACGAAAATATATTCCAGCTATAAATTCCTATAACGTCTTTGTATACCGCAAGTGTTTTTCACCTAATGTTCCCAACTATATCTCACAAACTTACTCACATACGAAAATATATTCCAGCTATAAATTCCTATAACGTCTTTGTATACCGCAAGTGTTTTTCACCTAATGTTCCCCACTGTATCTCACAAACTTACTCACATACGAAAATATATTCCAGCTATAAATTCCTATAACGTCTTTGTATACCGCAAGTGTTTTTCTACGAGTACTGTATCACTAACCCACTGCTAATACTGTGAAACTTGTCCAAGCGGCATTAACTCTTCTCACTCACTCGTTCAGTGTGTGTAAGTATATGACGGCGGTAAAAGAAAATTCATTGCTTGATATCATGAGCATCGACCCACCCAATGTGATATGATGTATATGACATTCTATCAACCTGACCACCCGATCCAATTATATGCCTTTTACGACAAGTATAGGTTCTCGGGGCCTTATATTTTGACCCGGATTCTTCATGGGTTCGTGCAGCATGCACATTATGTTTGATATTGACAGGAGCCCAAGTTCTTCTCCTCATGGATATTACTCAGAAGAGTAGGTAAAAAACTATGCCCGGTCGTTGCTCATCGTTGCTTTCAGTCACTGGCTTGTCCAGTAAATACTCTGTTATGTCCAGAGCTCTATGGAATAGTTCGAATATGTTTCAGATGGAATGGCGTTTACGGCATTCAATCGCTCACTCATTTCTTAAAGCGTTAACGTGTTTTGGTTGAAGAACAAATATGCCAAAACCTTGTGTTCTATCTGATGCAAATTCTTCCTCCGTTTGATAGAAACTAATGAATGTGGTATTAGTTTCCAGATGTCTGCTAAGAAGGCGCGTTCCTGTGTTGTGTAATGAGTCAAGCCTTCTTTATCAAGCGTTATAACGGTTCTTGTCGATCGTGTTCCGAGTTTTAATCAACATGATGTTTCCAAGGTTAAAGCTTGATCAAAACGAAAAGGTTCTTCGAGTTCAAAGAAAACAAAAACTTATGCAAACCTTAATAAGAACTTAAGTGCAGGTTTAAGCATTCAATTGATCTCCTTCATTTAAACAAAGCCTAACATGGGGTAGTCAAAACCATGCCTTAACTCTTGTTGAAATTGATAACTTTGATGGTCCTACAAATTAATCCTTGTGTTGATTATGAGCACTATTTCAATGCAATAACTGGATCTTATGCCACTCATTTCCAACAGAAGGACATGTAAATTTATTCCTCTTTGAAAAGATCTAACATCGGGGCTAACTAACCTCCTTTGGTCATCAAGTTAATCAGTCACGTGAATTCAATCGTTGTCTTTTCATTAAAGTTAACTTTCCGCAATGACTATGAATTATGCGATTACATCTGTGAAGAAGTTACAGTATTTATGAGGATTTGAAAACTTTAAAAAGAAACTTATAAAAAATTTAATGAAAGTTTCGAGGAGACAAAAAGCAAAACAATTACCATTTCTTTTACGTATTTGTATTGATGGATGTGAGAATGGGAGAAGAAGAGACCGAGCGCTGCAATCACAAAGAGAGCGATTCCACATATCCTTATTGACCCCTCACATTCGTTATTGAACGTTCCTGTTTAACCAATTTAAGTGATTTCGCTGCCCACGACCTGAATGCATGCCTTTGTGGAAATATGTTTCAAAGATCCTTCGGGCTGCTTGCAATGATTTCTATTTAACAATCGGATTAACTTGCATGTGCATCTGGCCATTCAAAACAAGAGGTTTGTAATGAAAGAAGCTCGTCGACATTTCAGGTAAGAATTGGTCCCCAGCAACCACTTTTTGTCATACGAAGGGATAGGTGGAATAATGAGCATCCTTGTAATCGTACACAAACGGCGGGGATTGTTGCTTATCATATCTATCGATCAGACTCGATTATTTACAGGCTGTTGTCATATTGCTTAGCGCGGCGTCAAACAACAAACAAATATGTAACGAAAGTTTATATCATACTTTATTCTATCTGAATGAACATACGGATGAGACTGATATATGCAGTCGGTAACCGTTATCCAAACTGACTTGTACTCTACATAAGCTTACTATAAAGGTGAGGTGGTAAGCTCTAGGGCTCCAGTCGTCATCTCACCAGCAACCAACCTGGTTGGTGACTTTGTATGGCAAATTTTCCGTGTTGATCTGCAGCTGATAGACCAGTTTCTGGAGTAGCTGCAGAGTCTCGTCCCCGATGCTGGGTTTCCTAGCCAGGAAGTGCACACAGTAGTTTGTCATGCCTAAGAAACTGCCGCAATCGTACTCGATGGCGTACTGGTCGTCCAAGTAGATTACGGTGTAGTCTACCTGTGGGCAGTATCACATATAAAACAATGTACCATATTCATACGCAAAACGTCGAGTAATGTTGTTGTTTTTTTTTGTTTACCGCCGCACTTACCAATAGTTCAGCTTTATGACGGCGGTCTGTAAATAATCGAGTCTGGACCAAACAATCCAGTGATTAATACCATGAGCATCGATCCACGTAATTGGGATACGGTGACATGCATCAACCACATCTGCGAGCCTGACCACCCGTTCCTGTCAGTCCCCTCTTACGACAGGCCTAGTCACCTTTTACGGCAAGCATGGGTTGCTGAAGACCTATTCTACCCCAGCTCTTCACGGGTAAGGTGGGTAGGTCTAATAATGACATGCAAAGGATCATCACAAGGTTAACACAACAATAAACTATGTTTGAAGGTGGTTAAAAATGAAACATTGGTTATGCGGCGGTGATGTATGTGATACGGGGCTTATAGTTGTCTTGGACCTTAAGTTTGCAGTGTTTCGGTGATGTAACGTTTTCATAACGTTTGTCATTGTTTGCTCAAATCGTTCAGTGAATTTTATAAAAACTTTTTAAAAAAGAATACTTAACATGTGTTAAGGTCTACCTTTAAAAACAAAGTCTGAGAACATCTATGAATCAGATTCAGATTCAGATTCAGTTTATTTTTTAAAGAAACCACCACCGGTGGTACATGAGCGTTTACAGCTATATATATATACATATGAAAATACAAAAAGAAATTAACATGAGAAGTGACAGGGTCAACGGTTCTTTCTTATTAACTTAAATAGACATACAATATATCTGGATAAATTTCTTATATCTTTTAGCCTTTTGGGTGAAACAGTTCTAAATTAGATAAACGCGACAAAACATTTCCATTGGACGATTCCAACTTTATCATAAGTCTGACTCCAACCACAACATAACACAACATTCTTTAGCGAAACGACAGTTACAATATGCTTATAGACTGACCTTTGGAGCGAAAAAAAAGAAGGATTCCTTCCACTTGCCTTGCGGGCCCTCGGCTGTCAAAGTACCTGAAGAAATACATGACGTGTTTGTTTGATAGTGTACCTTTTGTTTAGAGTTTTATTTAAAAGTGAATATTTAAATACATATTACTACACAGACAGTGTTGCTGAGTTGACGTTTCTGTACGTTTACTAAGTAGGTTGATAAATTAATAAGTGTATTTAAAGAAGAAGAAGAAGAAAACACAACTCCACACAAGAGATGGATGTCAAAGCTCAAGACATTTTTATCCTGGTCACCGGATGTTTGCTTTCAGATTCCATTATCAGCTTCCTGGGAAGTATACAACCCCAGCTGGCTGTTAGCATTTGTATCACCATCTATAACTACCGGGCAACCAAACAATGCTGGTTGGACAAATGGCGACTTTCGGAAAAAGTCACTCATCTGAGGAGACATATTATCCTGTTCACCGGCATGCAGCCCTACGCATCCCCAGGATTCACATTTCCCTCAGGCGATCCCCTTGGTACATACACTCAATGTGTATGCTGCTTAACTTCACCTGATTGTGTGATATATCCGCCATGCAGAGGACCACCTGCCCCGAATCAGATGTCAGATAATGGCACTCACTCACTCACTTATGTTCATGATAAATTAAAGCAACTACCGATATACAAACAGAGCTAAGCAAAATGTAATAGGCTGGTCGAGATTCTATCAAAATGAAACCATTTGTTCAAGATAAGATCCATGAGTTATACAAACAACTATACTACTCAAAAGAAGTTAAGGGTCACCGATTCTTTCATATTGGTAATGTTAATCTGTCATGGCATGAGAGAATAACTATTGTTATATGAAAGAATCGGGTGATCCTTAACTTTTTTTGAGTAGTATATATATGGTAGTGGTATACTTCCAAAGGTTAAATATGTGACGCCCATTTGTGGTCGCCCGCCGTGATATTGCTGGAATATTGCTAAAAGCGGCGTCAACCCATAATCACTCACTCACCCCAAAGGCTAAAATAAGTCACAAAGAAGAGAAAATGTTCTAAAACTTGTTCCCAGACTAAACTCAGACACCCCTGTGTGAAACATCTGCATCAGTTCAATCGAAGATCAACGAGTGCATAATTGCTTGGTTATCAATGCACACGTTGTAGCGTTCAACGGCAACAGCTGCAGTGACCAGGGGCGCTTCACGCCGCCATCAGCACAGCAGGTACATGTACGTCTGGTACTGGTCTTCCTTCATTTACATGTAATTGTCGACATCAGGCGAGAAAACTGTAATTGCCCTGTTACTCCCCTACAGACGCGCCAGGTTCCAAAATAGCAGTTTTCAAGGATAGTGTTACAAACGACGGCTCAGAATTAACAAACGGCCAATGTCATGACCCAGTGCTGTTCTCCTATGGTCACTTCTGGTGACACTTTCCTTGACCGAACCCGCCCCCACATGCAGTCACATACGAACATGCCATCCATCAAACACATTCGTACCGCACATTCACGTAATTCGTGAAACTCCACATGTTTGTTGCTACTAATGGAAAATACATTGAAGAGGTTGTGGTCCCATTTTACCGCCGTGGCAGCCATTCAATTCGAAATTTCACAAAGTGTTCAAACATTTTCTTCCGAGAAAGCCCGCCGTAATATTGCTGGGATATTGGTAAAAGTGACGTAAAACTACACTCACTCACTCATTTCTGAGAAACAAGACTTATAAGTTTTGGGCTTTGTGAGCATGAGAGAAGGCTATGACAGATTCACGGCATCACGGCATCACGGCATCACGGCAGGCTTTTAGCAGTAAATGCAGAATATGGCAAACCAAATTTGCTGAAACTCAGCTTTCGTGTTTGTCTCTGTACTAAGGTTGAAGCCTTATGAATCTACAACTTGCGTATAATAAGGAACTATGAAACAAAAACAAAAAACTTGAGAAGACAAATGTTTCTGTTTCAGATTAATAAACACTGATACATATATAAACTAATAATTATTGCCTTAGAGTGAGTGAGTGATTGGGTTTAACGCCGCTTTTCACATTAATCCAGTTATATCACGGCGTGTCAGCTTAATGGGGGAGGAAAGCTCGAAGTGATGCAGGTCTCAGACGTTTACCACTTCGGTGAAACCCACGAGCACGGGTATGGTGCTGACAAACCTAGAAACATAATCGGGGTGAACCCGGATTCGAACCCACAATCATAGGTTTCTGGCGTGCCCAAAGGACGCAACTCTGCACAGCGAATCGCGGCGCCTCAGACGACTGGGCCACCCGTTCCCCCTATTGCCTTAGAGACTTGTGCAAGTCTATCAATGATCTTGTGTGGTCGTTTACAGATTTCACAATTCATTTCTGTGTATTCCAGTTTCTGAAAATCACGACACTACACATTTGATCATCAGAGCCGTGTCGCATCGTTTGATGGAAGGCATGTGGTACAGCATTTGATGGCTGTGAGTCCTGTGCCTTACCTGTGGCGTTCAGGAATGACCCCGAAGGAGAGGACTTTCTGCAACTGTTGACGACAGTTGCATCCCCGCTGGAACTACCATGGGTGGGTTTCACGTCTATTGTTGTACACACGCAGTCTTTCTCAAACAGTGCTCCACCAGCCGTTTGAATCTTGCCTACTTCATACCACAGACCGAAGAAGCGCGTGTTCTGGAAGGCTACTGAAGGTGGAGTGGACTTGCATGATGACTGATACGACAGGCACAGTAACGACGCAGTTACCGCAAACTGAAAAAGACAATGACTAAAAATATGTTAAATCATATATCGTTGAGGAAACATGAAAACTTTTTCAATATTTTTCACTGTGTTTAAATTGGCAAGGGTGACATATTCCTCGGGAGCCACATTTCGCCATCCTGTTTTGTTATGCTGATCCGTACCAGAACATTTACCAGAGTTCACCCAGATTCACCCCAATGGTCTATCTGAACATATTCCTTGGTCTCCTACCTCACACTGAGTAAATCTTAGCTTCATCAGGCTGACAATGATGTAACTGAAATAAAGCTGCATTAGTGGAGACTTTACGATAACAAAACATGCATCAGTCTACAAATGAGTACATTTGAGCTTCATCAGGCTGACAATGATGTAACTGAAATAAAGCTGCATTAGTGGAGACTTTACGATAACAAAACATGCATCAGTCTACAAATGAGTACATTTGAGCTTCATCAGGCTGACAATGACGTAACTGAAATAAAGCTGCATTAGTGGAGACTTTACGATAATAAAACATGCATCAGTCTACAAATGAGTACATTTGAGCTTCATTTGGCTGACAATGATGTAACTGAAAGAAAGCTGCAGTTGTGGAGACTTTACGATAATAAAACATGCATCAGTCTACAAATGAGTACATTTGAGTTTCATTGGGCTGACAATGATGTAACTGAAATAAAGCTGCATTAGTGGAGACTTTACGATAACAAAACATACATCAGTCTACAAATGAGTACATTTGAGCGTCATTGGGCTGACAATGACGTAACTGAAATAAAACTGCAGTTGTGGAGACTTAGCGATGACTTGGAATATAACTTCCTGGTGTCACCTAAAGTTGAACAAAACATGCATCATTCTACAAATGAGCACTTATCAAAGATAAATGACATTACATTTTCAAAATCTTTAAAAACAAAATCAAAATCCGCGAGGACTGAAGAATTGTGGATCTTGGCTTTATTTTAGCAACATCCGTATTGCCATAAAACCTCATGCGGCTGCAGCATATTCTACAGTGTAAATATAAAACGTCAACGCCATATGATACTCAATCTCGATTATCTGCCGGAACAAAGTATTTTATATTCTATTGTGTTGACTACTTCAGTTCAGGTCGTCACGAAACACTCATAAAATATGTCGCTATGACTTCAATCCATCCCATTTTCAGTTGTCTGAAAGCTGTGTTGTGAAGCGGATGATTTTTTCTAAAGAATGGTTGTTCCAATCTGTCTCTACTTTATAAAGAAGTAACTGTGATCATGTTTTTATGTGTCATATTGTGCGTTTGCAGAGGCCATGAAACTCGAGTTGTACATACAGGTCATTTTGACCTAAAGATTGATATTATTTCAAGTTTTGAATTACGTCAAGGATATGAGTTGTTCTCGCGGACTTTCTAAACGAGAGGCTAAGGAAAATATACCGAGTTTGTTTTTTATGTCATTGAAAATTGAAAGAACCGTTGCGAGATTTCATTATGTTTATTCACCATCACTCATTCCTGCAACGGTTTGTTAACGATAATCTCTGGCTGAGGGTTTTGTGTAAAATAAATTGGTTGACGGAAGACTGGGGCAAGAAATGAATTTGCAACCACATGACCAGTACCATGTTTGTAATGTAGTAATTTGGTGCAGAAAAAACATTTGATTTTCAAAGATAAGATGTCTAAGATACCCATCAGAAACTGGACATTTTGCGAAAAAATAAATATGTTTTAAAAATATAACCATGTGGAAGTGTTCTTTGAATGTGGACTAAGCGTCAGTACAGTTTATTTTTTGGATATAATTTCGCTAACGTAGACATTATAATTTTTTTAAATCCAGTATATTGATACTCTGAGAGCCTATAAGCCAAACTATTTTGTTCTGCGGATTAAATATATATGAATTTTTATGAAAATAATACCTAATAGCAAGATGTTTTTCATCGCAGAATGGCTTTAAATTCCCTTTTCGTGATATACCTAACTTATCTCAAATCGGTGACAAAACACGTTTAACGTTGAAATGACACACCGCTGTTTCTGTCGTACTGATGAGAGCGCTAGTCTAAAACATAATGGCAAGGGACTTCTTAAAATGTGTGTTTGTTTAACTGACAACTGTATATTTCTATAACAAACATTCATGGCGTTTTCATAAATGTGTTTGTTGTAAAAAGTCATAATGGTGGATGCTTATCGCCGGTTTGAGTTTGGTTACAGCGGCGACGTTTAAGCACAATTGGCAACGTCAGTACATCATGCTGTCCGAGAGAGTTCCTGCTTAAAGTCTCATGCTTTCTGTTCATGTTTTCTACCTAAAAACACACAAAATACAACAGATCACTATGCGTCAATATTAATTATGTCCACATGAAGTATAAGATGTGTGATTGATGTTCGGCCATTTTTTCCCGGCTTCCTTAAAGCAAATGCGATTTTAAAGGAACTTATACTTTTATCTATTTAGATAAAAAAAAACATACTTTTTAAAATGAAATATGTATGTAATTGGTGATATATGTTTGTATTTACTTGAATGAGTAAATGAATAAATGAATGAATGAATGAAAAAGTCGAACCAGAATGGTCAAAGTTCGTGCATCAGCGACCCATGAAGATCTGAGGTAGAATAGGTCTTCGTAAGAGGCGACTAACGTGATAGGTTGGCCAGGCTCGTTGACTTGGTTGATGCATGTCATCGTATCCTAATGTGCGTGGATCGATGTCATGATATCAATCACTGGATTGTCTGGTCCAGATTGTGTTATTTACAGACCGCCGTCATATAGCTGGAATATTGTTGAGTGCGGCGTTAAACAAAAATGAAACAAACAAACAACACCACAGTCGGTTGTGGTACGTGTGAAGTAGTACCTAGTGGGTAATAAGTAATGATTAACAGCAAAACTTATAGATATGATGACATATTTGATAGCATACACACAAATTGAATCCTGTTAGGACTGCGGATTGGCTTGAACATAGTCATAATAAATTTGGTCACGGGGCTGAAACCAGTTACCACTATCACGGATCAAAGAGTCTGCACTCCCAAATAGACGACTAGGTCCCTCGTACCCACAGGTGGGAAAAAAGTGCCCCAGCGCTCAAGAAAGTACGCACACGCATTATTCTGATAATTCGAACACTACGTTTGAACTATTTAAGTGATGGGGTGAAATGGGGTTTAACGTCCCCTTCAAAATTATTTGCACTTATAGTGAGTGAGTAAGTATGGATTTACGCCGCTTTTAGCAATAATCCAGCAATATCACGGCGGAGGACACCAGAAATGGGCCTCACACATTGTACCCATGTCAGGAATCGAACCCGGGTCTTCGGCGTGACGAGCGAACGCTTTAACCACTAGACTACCCGAGCGCCCCATTTGCACTTATAGAGCGACGAGGATGCACGTGTATGTGTGTGGCTGCATGAACTCATGCAGCAAGACCACTGAGATACCATGCCGCATTTAAACATGAATATCCAACTCAAACAACAGAACAAAGACTCCGAGCCGACCAGACTAGTTTTATCCCCGCAATGACGAACGTCAGGCAGGGAAACAACAAGTTCCACCTTTTAACGTCTTTTGGTATGACACGGCCAGCGATCGTATTCCAGACCTTCCGCTCTCCGGGGAAACGCTCTAACCACTAAACGACGAAGGCGGTCGAACTATTTGGTGAAAGCGTTTCATGTAAGTTTATGACTGATGGGTTTTTTCAAGTACAACCTGCTTTAACGTATTATCACAATTGTTCTGATCTAACGTCATGTTAAACAGAGCGCACAAACGTAGACCTTTTATATTGCACTAAAGACAAATCACAGCAACAAACTAGAAAATGAAACAATTGTATACAAGGAAACATTTATAACAGTACGTCGTAACTGTAAATATGAAATACAGTAAACTACAGTTATAACGAACTCAAAGGGACTACTAATTTTAGTTCGTTATAACCGTAGTTCGTTATAATTACATATAGAGCATGACTACAGCAAGTAGTCGGGACCAAAAAGTAAGTTCGTTATATCCGTCAGTTCGTTATAAGCGTGTTCGTTATAACCGTAGTTTACTGTACACGTTATTCTATGGGGCGGGGTATTAACCACCCCATGTTGTACTCATCTACTGGTGCATCAACTTTAATGTTGATATCTACCCCAGATCATAAAGTACACACCTTGGTTGAGCTCCCGTCATACAAAGTCCCCGATAACATGATAACAGATGACCTCTCTGCAAGAGGTCGAGAGTGACAGGTTCAGACTCTATGTTTCACATCTCACAACAGCTACAGTCATTGAGATTTGACATAGAAGTGAGTGAGTGGGGTTTAACGCCGCTTTTTAACACTATTCCAGTTATATCACGACATGTCAGCTTAATGTGGGAGGAGAGCCCGAAGTGATGCAGGTCTCAGACGTTTATCACTTTGGTGACCCCCACGAGCACGGGAATGGTGCTGACAAACCCAGAAACATAATCGGGGCGAGCCGGGATTCGAACCCACAATCATAGGTTTCTGGCGTACCTTAGAGATGTAACTCAGCACAAGGAATTGTGGCGACTTAGACGACTGGGCAACCAGTGCCCCCAAAGAAAGAAGCATTTTGACACGCACATTGCTACCTATCATGTCCTTATTAAAGAAAAGTTAAAAAGTTACCGAAAGTTACGTGTAAATTAAAAAAGCACCGTACAAACATATAAAATGTAAATGTCCAAACTTAAATTCAAATAAATATTTCAAAGCTGACAGAAGATGTTGGTCGTGGGTTCAAAATTCCGATCATTAACCTTGGATTTGGTTGACAACATGCAACATTTTGTGCTTACATCAAACTTTCACAACATTACATAGCCGAGGACCGCCTCCTTGGTCTTGTGGATGGTTCGATCCCCGGTCGCGTCATACCAAAAGACGTTAAAAGATTGCACTTGATGTTGCCCTGACTAGCGCTCGGGATGAAGGGGATAAACAAGGACTGGTCGAGTCAGAACACAGTGTCTGAGTGAGTTGTCCATGTCATAGTGTTACATAGTACCTCACTCGGGTAGCACTATAAAACCGGCATTAGTCCGAACTAGCACAAGCACACACACACACACACACACACACACACACACACACACACACACACACACACACGCACACGCACGCACGCACGCGCACGCACACACACACACACAGACAAACACACACACACCCCACTTTACCTCACCTCACATAACTGACGCAAAGAGCGGAGGGAGGCCGATTTTTATTCAATCCCTGCAGTTCATAGGCCAGCATTGCCCCCATGGTTTTCACATCACACGAACCGCCTCCGTGGTCTAGAGGTAGAGCGTCCGCCCGGAGAGCGGAAGGTCCGGGGTTTGATCCCCGGCCGCGTCATACCAAAAGACGTTAAAAGATGGTACTTGTTGTTACCCTTTCTGGCGCTCTGCATTAAGGGGCTAAAACAAGGACTGGTCGGCTCGGAGTCAGTATACTGTGTCTGAGTAGGGTATTCATGCTAAACTGCGGCATGGTATCTCAGTGGGCTAGCACTATAAATCGGCATCAGTCCGGACTAGTACAAGCAGCCACACACACACGTGCATGCACGTCGCTATATAAGTGCAATAATCTTGGACGCGACGTTAAACCCAATTTCACCTCACCTCACATCACATGATAGGAAAACTTCTGAACTTCTGTACTTACACATTTCTACAATCACATATAAACAGACATTCTGCTGACACATTTCAAATTAATTTGAGTAGTTGTAAATGTCAGTGTCACTTCAACGCCTTAGACATAGACGTGTATTTCTTTGCCTGACAATCCCAGATTAATGGCTGTTGTTGAAAGTACTGTCTCACCTTAAGCCAGCCGTCCATTATCGTGGTTCGGGGGAAAGAAATACTTGGTAGGATAGTTCAGATAACATCTGCCATGTGTGACCTGGTTAGAGAACGTCCTCCGTGGGGCACAGCCTGGCGTCATGATCAGAGATATATAACGAGCGGCCACTCGAACAAAGGGACATAACCTAACAATATCAGAGTGAGTGAGTGAGTGAGTATGTCTTTAAGCCGCTTTTAGCAATATTCTAGCAATTTCAATGGTTTCATGGGTTTTACAAATTGTACCTATGTGGGACAACCTCTAAACCACCCCACCGCCCCCGGTATTAAATAAAAGCAACAAAACCCTATCCACATGCATAAGAAATGTATGGCGAAAGCAGAGGCGATTGTACGATTCCGACTATATAATGAGCATGTGTTTATGAATAACTATCAAAAGGTGATGATACCAGGTGTTCGCGAAAAGGTGAGCGAGCCCCACCCGGCACCCGGCACCCGGCACCCGGCACCCGGCACCCGAAACCCGAAATGAAAGTTGGGCTCAATTCGCCCAATCTTTTTAATATGAGGCCTCCTTGGTCTAGCACATCCTGCTCAGTGAGTTCCATAAGATTGAATCTTATGTAGATTTCTGCAGACTGGTCCAGAACTTGGCCGGTGTCACGAAATATATTCGCCCCCAGAATAAAATCTCCCCCCGGCGAATTTATACCGGTACAGTTCCGCCCCTCTCGAAATAAACTCTCCCCCACCCTACGAAATAAAATCTCCCCCCAGAATATTTCCTCCCCCGGTCGTTTTATAAATACTTGCCATGCAGTTCAATAGTTGATGTTATTTTTTGGTTAGGTAATGTTGTAATCTATTTTTAGCCATTGTTTCCTTTACTTGTATAAGTTTGAAGTTAGGGATATTGGTCTATATGAGTTAGCTTGATTAGCTGGTTTATTAGGTTTAGGGATTTGTATGACTAGGGCCTGTTTCCAGGGAGTAGGAACCTGTCCGTTTAAGTAGATGAGATTGTATAGTTTGAGTAGTGCCTGGAGTAGTTTTAGCGGGAGATTTTTAATTATTTGGTAAGAGTGAGTGAGTATGGTTTTACGCCGCTTTTAGCAATATTCCAGCAATATCACGGCGGGGGACACCAGAAATGGGCTTCACACATTGTACCCATGTCGGGAATCGAACCCGGGTCTTCGGCGTGACGAGCCAACGCTTTAACCACTAGGCTACCCGACCGCCCCTATTTGGTAAGAAGTTAGGTCTAATCCTGGGGCTGTGCCCTTTTTCCTGTTTTGGATTACGTAGAGCAGCTCCTCCTTTATTTCTAGATTGTTATTGTTTGGTTCTTTTGTGGGTTTGTTTTTTGTTTTAAGTTTATCTTGGAATTTTTGGCTGAAGTTGGTGTTACTGCTAACGGCCGAAAAGTGGTTGGCGAGATTATTTGCTTTTTTGGCGGGGTTGGTTGAGTTGTTAATGTTAGGGGTTTTTTTATGTCGTTTTAAGCCTCTAACGGCGTGGATTTTGCGCCAGACCGTTCTGGCATCTGTACGGTTATTTATACCTTCGCAGAATTTTTTCCAGTCTCTACTTTTGGCTAGTTGGACTAGTTTTTGAACCTGGTGGTTTAGTTCGTGGGCTATGTTTAGATGTTTGTAGTCGCGTTTTGCTTTATTGAAGGCTGATTTACGTTTTCGTCTAGTCTGTTCTATTTCCTCATTCCACCATGGTACCGTGGGTTTGCCTAGCCTGTCTTAGGTGTTTTGAAGGGGATGGAGGTTTTGGCTGCGTTTATTATATTATATTATATTTGGTTTATCTTATCGTACCTCGTGGGTTGGTTGTTATTTAGGAGTACAAGGTCGTTTGTTTCTATCCATTCGGAAATTAATTTGCTATGATTATCTATTTTATCATCTATGCTCCATGTAGGATGGTGAGCGTTAAAGTCTCCTAGGAATATAGTAGATTTATCGCTTATTTTGAGTAGTTTGTTTAGATCCTCAGGTTGGACTTTTTGTTCCGCCCAGTGGTATATATTTATGATGTTTATTTTTCGGTTATATAATCATTATGTGATTTTAATGCCGTTGGCTTCTAGGTTTGGCGTGTCTATTTTTATTTCTTCGTAATTTATATCTTCCCTGATAAATATGATTAGTCCTCCTGCGGCTCTTCTTGTTTTTGGGTCACGATATGGCTGAAATATTGCCGATGTGACGTAAAGCTTTAACTCACTCACTCTTGTTTTTGGTTTAGCTCTGTCAGTTCTAACTGAGTTGTTGTTAGGTAGTGTGAATTTGGATTTTTTTGAGAATTTGGTTTCCTGGATACAAGCAATGTGAGGGCCTTTATTTAGTTTAAATTAAGTTTTTAGTTCATGGCCGTGGGAGGTGAGTCCGTTGGCGTTCCACTGAAAAATATTTAGTCCTTCCATTATTGGGTTCGGGTGATTGGTGATTTAGTTTTTAGTTTTTATTTTATTCGGTGACTTCTTTTAGATGGAGGTTAAAGAGGAAGAAGGGAAGATGGGTTAATTTTAGATTGAAAGCTACTTTGTGGAAGGATTTCATGCTAGCTTATGGTGAGTTTTGACTATGCATGTATACTAGGAGTAAGGTGAGGTTATTTAGGTTTTGGGTGTTAGCTGGTTGGGGAGTTTTGCGGTTTAGTTTTTTTTTCCTTTTTGGGGCTGAGAGGGAAGTTTGGTTTGTTTTAGTTGGAGTAGTGTCTATTGTTTCCTCAGTGGTGGAGGAAATCTTCGTCATCGGTTAGATTAGGTTTAGCTGTTTGAGTTTCCATAGGGGAGGCAGGTGATGTGGAGGGTTGTGTAGGTATTTGCGGGATGGGTCTAGCTGTGGATTTCTTAGTGTTTGTGTTTTGTTGTTGTGCTTGCTTGTGGGGGAGTGTTGTTGCCATGTGGGCTGTAGGGTGCTTGGATGAGGGTCGTGTTGTGGCGGTCGTTTTGTGGTTTGTTTTGCATGCGGGGGTTGATGTTTTGGCTATGTTGAGATGTGGGAGGGTTCGTGGTTGGTTGAGTGGCTGCTTGTGTGTGTGAGGTGGGTTCGGTTTCTCGGTAGGGGGCCCAGACAGAGCTGTCGGTTATGGGTGTGGTGTTTGTTTGTGGGATGGTGTTTGGGTGTGGTGTAGGGAGGAGTGGTTTGGATGCGGGTGTAGCAAATTTTCTTGTTTGGATTTTGGCCGTGTCTATGTTTATGTGTTTGTTGGCCTGCTGGGTGAATGTGTGTCTGTGTGGGCATTGGTTTGAAAGTGAAGTGTGTTGGATGGATTTGCAGTGGATGCACCAGGGTGTGCATGTGCCTGGGCAGTCTGTTTGTGCGCATGTTTTACATTTAGTTTTAGGGTATGTGCATTGGGAGGCAGTTTGATTGTATTTGAGGCACTAAACCCAGATCAAAGCGGTTTCACTCCTGGCCGCTCAACCCTAGATAGCCTCGCCCGACTAGAGCAAGATATTAAGAGAGGACAACTAAATAAACAATATACCACAGGCATCTTCTTAGACTTCTCTAAAGCTTTCGGCATGGTATTGCACGACGGGCTAATACAAAAACTTTAAAAAATAGGACTCAAAGGTCAGATAATAAACTACATCCAGGACTTCCTAAACAATCGTAAAATAACCGTGGGTATAGACCAAACACTATCGGACCAATGTCCCCTAGAAAATGGCACTCCCCAGGGCAGTATCCTCAAAATGGCCCAAAATTTACTCCAAAATCTCTAAATAAAATACAACAATGGGCTGACAAATGGGGCTTCTCCCTTAACTCAGAAAAAAACAACAGGAATAGTATTCAAACTCCCCAGTTAGAGCCAGTTAGGCATCTTAGGGTGTTTAGGTCTTTACTGCATTTAGTTGTTAGGTTTTGGATGTGAGCATCCCAGGTGAGATGTTCATCGAAAATAAGTCCTAAGAATTTGGTTTGTTTTTGAAATTTGATTGTTTGGTTGTTTAGCTGGCTTCTGATAGAGACGATGTTTAGTTTATATGCTAGTCGTTAGGTATAAAGATTGTTTAGTAACTTTAGAAGTTCTAGGACAGTTATTAACACGTGTCATGTCAGCCCTATGGCATTCGCGATTGTCCACTTCCAGAAAACATCCTGTGTTGGTTTAACATGAATTAGTAAAGGTTAATTAGGGATGTCCAACACGTTAATTAATGTCAAAACACTGTCATTTCCTGCCCAGGATATCACACACCTACACGCTAAGGTCGGTGAGAAACATTCTCATCAAAGAAAACACACAGTCTAGCTACAAATCCTGTGATGTATTAAAGGTTGAAGAATTTTGAACTGAACTGTCCGAAAGTTTACATCTAAAATTTTGGAATTGGATACATTGATAAAGTCTTATATCAGTATGTAGACTCATAAATATTGGTTTTATGTTTTAACGGAGATATGATGTTTTCTTATGAAATATCGTGTATTAGTGTAATTTGCATGCTTTACCATTCATTGTACCGTTCTAAACCATGTGAATGTTGTAATATCAATCAATCGGGTGGGAAAACAGCCCAATCCTCGCTCCATAATGGGGGGAATGTCAATCATTTTGCAAGTTTAAATGACCCCTGATACTTTTTGAATACTTTATGACAGTTTATGGAGTCAAAATCAATGCTGATTATTCATAAACTTAATGCTTCTTACTATAGGCCTGTGGCCTCTTCAGTGCTGAATAAAGATTGAAAATACATCAGTCAATCAAAGATGAAGGTAACTTTATACATCAGAGTTCTTGAGAATAAGTTCATGTTTTGTTCTTAGACTTACATTTCAACCATCGATTGTGTTCACATGTAGACTCAAACTGGTATATTAAAAAAATGTATACAGACAACAAAAACTGTATTAGAAACAACAAACTCTGTAAACTTTTAAGCATAGTTTTTGTATAGCATTTCAAAAGCCTGGTTTGTTTGCATTTAAATCAAAACAAAGGAATCTGTAATTAAAATGTGTAAGGTGAAAAAGCTTTTACATAAAAGAGCAAAATACATGGGGGAGAGTAAATATATAATTCTATATAACTTTTCTTGAATGGAGCACATTTGAAAAAAAAGATAATCCAAGCATATTCGATATCACCGTGTTTAAAGAATTTATATCAGT